CATCGCCCAGGAAAACTACAGATGGAAAGCGAGGAGCAGGGGGCGTGGCAATGGCCGGCGGGCCTGGAAACATTTCGAGTGAAATGATTAAACAACTGCCGCAGCAGCATGTCACAAGTTATTTTTACTCGTAGCCCAGGACTGCAGGCTACGTTCTGAGACTTTCAACGAGAGTCCTCTGTGCCTGCACAAATGTGTTGTAAAATGTTTAATTAAAGTATGCAAAGTTGTGCCAGCTGTCGGCAACTGTGTGTAAATAACTTCTGGTAGGGAATCGTTTTTGATAAGGCTTTGGCGATTCGAATGAAATGATATTGCCTCAACGATTTAATTATATTTGCTCTGAACCATATCAAAATTTGAAGTTATTTCAGAGTAATATCTTATTACTATATTCATGTATTATAAATATGGTTTCACATCTACTCTTAAACATCAATCATCACATTTAATTTGCCTTTTATTGATTTATTTATTTTAATTTTAAGTATTTAATGATTATTCAAATAAAAAATGTTATATGATTTCCACTAAATGTAATTAAAATATTAAGAGGACGTAAGAAAATATCTTAAACTGATGTAAAGAGAACCAAAAATGTTAAGCCTGATAATATTTCCTTTCAAGTCGAATATTAAAGGTACCAAAAACATAAGAAACCCTACAGGATAATTTTGTCTGCCCTGTAAGTTTGCGAACAGATTGCGTTGCCATGTAGTTGACTCATCGTGTCTTGTAATGTAATTTCTTTTGTGAGCCTGCTCGTGTCACATAAGTTGAAACTGATTTTAATTAATTTTTGGAAGAGGCCAAAAAGTTTACACAGCTCTAACTGGCATAAGTTGGGGATGACCAACTTTTGCTCGGGCCCCGCTGTCTAATCTGTGTCTTCATTAACATGGCCCCGGGAACAGATGGTTTAAGTTCCCTGATGTCCTATGTCCCCACATCCCCACATCCCCATGTACCCATTCCTGGAGGGAGCGAAAACTTTGGTATGCTGTTGACTTTCCGTGTATTTGATTGCCTTAGCTGGTAATGGCAGGTGGGCTTCGACGGTCCTCCAACGAGCTCGACGAACTTGTGGTGACATTTGCGATTGGCTCCCGTCCCTGAATTCAATCTCGCTTCCGTGGATCACTTGCACTTTGACCCGCCACAGGGGGAGCAGCAGGGGCCGCAGCATGGACTGCAGCACGGGGTGCAGCAGGGGGTGCAGCAGGGAGTGCAACAAGGGGTGCAGCACGGCGTACAGCAGGGGGTGCAGCAGCAGGGCGTACAGCACTTGCAGCAGGGTGTGCAGCAGGGCGCGCAGCACGGGGTGCAGCAAGGAGTGCAGCAAGGGCTGCAGCAGGGTCCGCAGCAGGGGCTGCAACAGGGGCTGCAGCAGGGACTGCAGCAGGACCCGCAGCAGTCATTGCAGCACGGTGGGCAGCAGGGGCTGCAGCAGGGGCCGCAGCAAGGTCCGCAGCAGGATCCACAGCAGGGGCTGCACATCTTCGATTCGTGCTGCTAATGGGAAAATCGGTTAGCTGGGATGTAGTCCACTTCGCGGCAGAAGCCCACTCACCTTGAACCCGTCAGAGATCTCTAGCCCGGGGTGGAAATTTGTTTTGTGTGAGCCGAGTGACTATTTCCCTAAAAAATGAGTTTCTCCTGACATTTCTTTTTGAGGTTTAAGGCAAAATGTTGGGGCTTTTAGAAATAACAAAGATCAGTTAAAGAGCGAGAAAGATAACCGTGGTATAGGACCTTCTTAAAAATGTCCCATCATAGAGTAATAACAACGAATTTATTTAACTAAGACCAAATATTTTAGGTCCGCACAAAAAAATGTTTGAGCAATACAAATATTTTCCTTTATTTATTCTAAAGGATTGGTGTTTGTATTATATTTTAAAAATTATGTACAGAAATTTGTGAATGTAATTTCTTTACCATGAAAATGTGTACATTTGGTAAAGTTTCTTCAATAAATAAGCAAGACAGCTTTATATATGTCATCAAAACACACACATTTTATGTAATAGATTGGTATGATATCCCTTAAGGTTTCCTTTAGTTTGCTTGTTAAAAAATAAGACTTCATCTTTAACTTTCTTGGCTTCACATTTCTTTTTCAATTGAGAATTTCAACTTGAAATTTATAGATTCCTTAAAGAGTTTAATAAACCTGTACAGGGCTTCCTCAGCAAAAGTCGACTTTAATCGCGTTCGTCTTTGTTTTCATTTTTATTCCCAATTTCCCTGATTGGGATCCAAACCCCCGTCTTCGCCACACACGTTAATCAACAGCTTCGTGTGGAAATGCAAACTAAGCAAATTTCTGGCATCTGTTTTATTTGGTGAAAGTTGAGCTAAACATTTGGGCGGCAACTGGGAGGCGGTAGCCTTGAGGGTCCTGCTTTGACAAATCACCACCCCGAAAGAGCCCCGCCACATCCACATCCGCAGCCCCGTCCCCATCCCCATCCCCATTCCCATCCACATCCACATCCGAGGAACCTCTCCGGCTGTCGTCACTGACAATTGAACGGCTTTGATCTTTTCAGCGCGCTTCTCTCCAATTTTTGCGTGTCGATTGCGCTGATTGTGTGTGTGAGAGTGTTGGGTGTGGGTGTGGCTGCCAGCGGGCATGTCCTTCTGGCCCGGTCCTACAACTTGGCCGGGAGTGTCGAGCCGTCAGTCGGGCGCTGTATTTGTCAGAGGACGACAACGGGCCTGGCAGTGGCATTGAATGCATGAAACCTTTTGTCAATTACGCCTCCACCCCCAACTCCCAATTTTCCCCGGCTCCCTGACTGTTTTCCTTTTTTCCTGCTGTTGCCGTGGCTCTGCCCCTTGTCAGAGGTAGATGATCAGGGGGTTCGGGGCCAAGGGGGCGGAAGTGCCATCCTGAAAGGCAAAAAATAGGCATAGATGAAATGATTGCTGATTTCAGCTATGCATACGCCAGGAACTCACTGCCACTGTCAGTGGCACCTTTTTGGCCATCAAGAGCTCGCACCAATTAAACTGACGTGCAAGTTGTCAAACTCGAAATCATTTTACGCTACATTCGTCCTTTTAATTGGAGCACAAATTCATCCATGGTTATGTCGTATCCGTACCTTTTTGTTCGATTTACGTAAGCACATATCCTTGTCATTCCAATTGCCATGGCTTCTATTTTGGTTATCAGTCCATTGTGACTATTCAACTTGTGAGGCTTTTTTACTTTCAATTTTCAACTGATTGGCTAACAAGTTTATTCCGCTGTCCTACTCATAAAAAGATTATATTATATTGGGATCAATCTGAGTTCTCATATTGTATATTAACATAGTCGTTTCAGAGTTATTCTGAAAAATAGGAATATATGAAATTTTCTTTAATACTGAATTTTATTCCGCCCTGTTGAGATATTAGAAAAAAACATCAAAATTACCTATACAGAGCCAATTCGAATTCAACCAGAATTTTTAAAAAAAGTTTTTAAATGTGAATTATATTTTCTGTAAAGACGACATTGATTTTCAATTAAATACATTTTAAATCCCACCTTTAGTTTGAAAAGCCGCCCATCTATCAAATTTAACCATCGATTTGTAAGAAATTCAAAGAAACCTGCGATAGACCGAGAAGAATATCAAACTGTCAGCGACAGGCGCAATTATGTCAAAGTCAAAACTCGAAAGCCGTGTTCTTGCTGCCAAACTCCACCAAAAATTAATATAATACCGAAAATGCTGTTCAGTCGTGGGGCAGAAATAAGGGCCCAGACGGATAAAATCAATTGCTTTGGTTTCGGGAGGGGGATTCGAGGGTCTGTTCGCTTTAGCCCAAATTGCCAGTTAATTGGCAATTCAGCAAATAGCATGCGTTTTAGCGGACCTTCCGCAATCTGCCAACTCATCGACATTGCTGCGTCCCTTGGTCGCTGGACAATATTTGCTCCCAGGGGCGGGGAGCGGAGAACCAGGGTCGTCTGATGGCCCCACCAAACAACAATCAATTTTAATGAACGGCATTCATTAAAAAACTTTGCAGCGGTGCGAAAATCATGATGGCATCGCTGTCGCCCGAAAGCCACTTAAACGCCATTGATTCATTTGAAACCGAAAAACTGGCATTTGGCAAACAGACAAGTTCGTGTGTGTATCTGGGGCTCGGATGTGAAAGGAAGCCGCAGGATGGCCCATCAGCTGCAGAGGTGGTCACCACCCACTTGGCCAGCCAGTGTGGTCGGACCTCCTTCTTCGCCTGCCCCTGACTTGGCGGTTTTGTGTGGATCTGGCTTAAACGCCCTACACTCATTTGCCACGTTGCCCGTTTAATGTTGTTAACTTGTCGCCGCTGCTGCTTTTGTGGGGCATGTGAATGCGGTTGGGAGAAATAATTTAGTGAGTGAAATCGAGGAGAAATCTTAGATACACAAGGATTCTGGCAATGGCCTATTAAATATGAATAATTTGCTCCTCCTTCCAGTTTTACCGAACTCAACAAAGCGGGGTTGGGATCGATAAAAAGTATATTAGAATGTAAGGCATTTGAAGTTAAAGAAAACCCTTTAAATAAATAACGAAGCAAACCCTTTTATCAAACGAATTTCATTTTAATTTAACAAAAATATGTGTCTTACGCTGATTTCTTTTATTATATCATCTCTCATACTAACCAAATTTAAATTTTTTCAACCACTCATTTTGAGTAAACCCCCGAAACACTTAAATGCAAACAAGGTATTTCACCGTGGAATTAAATTATATTTTCCTGCTCCCATGTTGATACAAGTGTATGCAAATTAAAGCTGGCTGTTCGCCTGCAGCTTTAATGCCCAATCAACTAACACAGCCCCCGAAGTCCCCCTCCCGAACTCAAATACCCGCATCAGTAGCGCCATGTACGTGACATGTGCTTTGGTGAAATCGAAGCCCCAAATTGTCATTTCGATTAACAAGAAATCCACTTTTCTCTTACTTTTTCTCCCGTTTCTCTGGGCTGCCCCAAATCAATTTCAGCATCCCACACACAGACCTCGGCGGAGGCGGCAGGCGGGAAAGGATCGGGCTCCGGAGAAGGAGCAGGAGCAGGGACAGCGTCATCATCGGCAGCCTCCACCGCCATCAGCTCCGACGAGAGCGGCGACCCATCATCGGCGACCGCATTCTCCAGCCTGGCCCAAGTGTCCTCGCTTCTGCCGGAGGCATCCGCCCTGTCGGCGACATCGGGACTCAAGGAGCCCTATCTGGACGGCTACGCCACCTCCAATGTGACCACCCAGATCGGGACACACGCGTATCTGCCCTGTCGGGTAAGTGCCATCTCCATCTCCATCTCAAGCCCCAAGCCCAGAGTCCATCTCGACTTCACGAGCCAAACAAGCTAAACTAGCAGAAAAATAAATTCATAATTCCTGCTTTATTTCCGTTTTTATTGCGCGTACAGCTTAACTTATGTATGTAACCCAAACTTGAACTAAATTGAGCGTTATAGTTTTCTGCGTCGTCGAGCATTAGAAATATCGCAGAATTATTATTTGTATCACCAAAACTAGATAAAAATATTTTTAAAAATTTTAAAAAGTTAACAAAAGAAGAATCTTATAGTTCTGTTAAGAAAATATTTTCGTTCTATAATTAAAAAAAAATTTTACTGATGCAGATACAAACACATACAAAAGATACAAATACAATATTTAGTATGTTTCAAATTTGGAAGACCATTTATAACACCACTTAAAGGTCAAACAGAACTAATCTCTTTCCTCTTCTTGAGACACATTTTCTTAAAAAAGCATGCTCAAAGCATATGCTCTTTTTTTCATATATATAATATATTATATATTTCTTGAGATACATTATCTTAAAGAATTATTCAACATATCAGAGCAGACAAATTTGTAGAATTTTATAGGATATAATGTTCCAGAAACCACCGATAGTTTATTTTCCTGTTCGCACACACTTTGTTCGAGTTAAGGAATTCCACCTGTACGTTCGTAACCAAAGTTGCGTGCTGTTTAGTGGAGGTGCGTGAGAGTTGTTATTTGTAATTATTACTTTTATTGTTGTTGGGCTGCCCTCATCCCCATCTGCGTGACCTGGCCGGGGTCCTAATAGAAAACACATTAAATTTTATTGCGCAAATATTTGTGGGATGTCCGGGACGAGGACGCCGAGGTGTGACCGCAGCCTGTGTATTTAACGCAAGGCCCAAAAACAAATGCCCAACAAACGTGGCCAAGACTCTCTGGGGCGATTCTCACACGCTTTTCCATTGTTTGCGCAGGTGTTTAAAGGCCAAGGGGAAGATCAGGGGGGAAAGTCAGGGTCAGGGGCGTGGGGAATGAAGAGCGCCCGGGGCACGCAGCCAGGCAAATTGTTTGCTTACAAGTTGTAAATATTTTATTTAGCATAAACGAAAACTGAAAATTAAATTCCAACAAATTAGTTCTATGGCGTCGCAATCGGTGGCAAGTGTTTGGTGTCCAGGTCTGCCACGTTACGTGACTCTTTTGCCAATGGGAAAGGCTAGCTAATTATTTAATATTTATTTAATTTAGGCCTTCATCCGGGGATTAAAGTATTTACCTGTCCCTCAGCCATTGGTTCGATGATTGGGGCAAAAACAAATAGAAAATATTTCGGTTGCCAGCTTTACTAACATTATTGTTATCAGTAGCTGTGTAATAGCCTTCGGATTTAGCTTGAGGTTAAGGCTTAAAGGCGAATAATATACTTTATTTTCCTTAACACAGACACAAAGATTAAATTCAAGGTGAAAGAATTCCGCCTTACAGGATTTCCAACAATTTTAAAGACAAATTTATTCCGACAGCCCAACAATTCGAGAGCTCAAATTTCCTGGCCAAGAACAAAGCATTGAAAAACTCGCATTAATCGCGGCTGAAATATTTAATACATGATGGGGTGGCCGTGCGGCCTGTGTTCTGTAATTTTCCAGCCGAGCAATGTTAATTTCTTGTTGTCATGGTCAATTAAGTGCTCCTCCGCAGAGTTCGCCAGCGACAGCCTAGACAGCCACCCGACCTCCGACCTCCGTCCTCAAACACCCCGCCTCCCATCACCTCCAGAGCAGCCATCATTGCCCGATCCAGGAATGAAAAATATAAGGCTCGCATCTCAATTTTCGTCAATTACTCGTCGTTGGCTTTACACTTTATGCCCGTCCAGGATGACACGCCCAGTTTGCTCGATGCTCCTTTGGCCGTTCTCCATTCTCCGTGGCCCATTCTCCGGGAGCCTTTCATTCCATTCTCTGTTCAAATGCTGCATTAAGTGCCACAGTTGAGTGAGTCCTCTTAGCCAGGAGGGACGTCTGAGCAGGGAGGACACTGGGACGGGGACCAGGACATGAACAGGAGTCGTGGGCAGACAGAGGTGGCTCTTCGGTCCGCTTCTTTTCAAATTGGCCTCACTTGTCCGGGCATTCGATGACATCAGGTGGAGTAGTACATCCTTTGGCAATGGCTTATTTGAAATATTTCAAGCAGCAGCTTATTTGTAATTGTCGAAGCTTAACTTCTGTTCCGGCCAAAGAATGCGCCCTTCGAATAAGTGGAGGCGGAGGTGTCCTGATTCTCGGTGTCGTTGCAATCAAAAGTAATCTCGGAACTGGAATTTTCCACAAAACTAAATTAGTAATCCGCCTGCGACCAGGCCGAGGCCCAATTAAATGCGACACATGCAACGAGCTCCTAATGAGACCATTACATCGGAATTACAGGGCGGTGACAGCGCCTAAACATTTAATGGATCCCCGGCAGGAGTCCGAGGGCTTCTACCTATGCAGAACTACCTACCACCAAACCCTAATCTCAAACCAACCCAGAACGTAGAACCAAAGTGTTGAATGGACAAAATCGTTTCAGTGCAAACAGAGATCCTACTGTGTGTGCGCCTATAAATGCATTTTAGATTTACTAACTACGACACATTTCGATAATATCTGAAACATGCGGATGCCTCTGCTCATGAGCCTCCCTGTTTGTCTATCTGCCGGCCGGGTTTCATGTTCATTTCGGTATTTAATTACATTTCAATGTAGTTTCTGTGGGCAGCCACTAGACCCACGTACCACTTCCTGACCCCATCTGCATTTGGTTGCAGTAATTTACTCTCGTGTGTGTGGCGGCACTTTGACGTTTCTCTTCCACTTGTTGAGCAATTCCCATGTAGACCATCTAATCACCAGAGGTTGTCCTTATAGTTAATGGAGCGGAGGGTGCCTATACTGTAGTTTGGGGTTAATCTTGTCTTGGTACCCCCCAAAACTACTCCAGCTGCAGATGGAAATCAGTATTTGCAAAGGCCATTTACAGAATAAGAAATTTAGTTTTAAGTTATCGTAATTGCTTTAAATTTGGCATTGAATAGTGTTATGGGTACAAAATAATACAGTATGCAACAATTGTGGTATATTCATCTGTGAGAACTAGTAACAAATTCTGATTCTAAAAAGAAAAATAAAATAAGAGCACTCATAAAAATGATGTGATATAAAGATCTAAAATATTTAAAGCTGTAAGACCTATTCTTTTTTTAATAATACTTTGAATATTTTTGTAAATTCTCCCTCTCAAAGCTTCTCTTTGTTTTGTTCCCACAGGTCAAACAGCTGGGCAACAAATCTGTGTCCTGGATTCGCCTGCGAGATGGACACATCTTGACCGTTGACAGGTAATTAACAAACTCATTTCCAGGCATTTGAATTCGAGGCTGGGCCGGTATCTGCTGACAATTACAAATCAATTTTCAGCCTCCCCATACAGCGTCGTTAATATCGTTGGATATTCTCGACTGCCTTGGGGACAGCGAGCTGTTATTTTGCGTAATTGACAGCGCAAGTGCTATAAACGTAATAATTCACAGACGAGCATAAATATTTGCGTAATTACGGAGACACTGGCTCGATTTCAACTGCTATTCTTGCTTTCGTACAAACGCACGAATATACATAAGTATTTCGTTTTGTTAGTGATTTACTGATTGCCCTGTCTCAGACATTCCGGGCATATGCATGAAAATAATGAATGGCCGTCAGCAGTAATGATATTTGCCAATTAAAATATTATGAGTTGCGAAAATGGCTTCACAAGTCTGAAATGGATGACATCACATTTAAGCGTGGACCATTAATAGTCCTACGATAGAAGGTTTTAGGTTACCAATAACATTTTATACCCGTTACTCGAACAGTAAAAGATTTATCGAGAGTATGTAACAGGTTGATGGAAACGTTTCCGACCCTGTAAAGCTAGAAAGTTGAGATTTTGGACAATGGCTACTACATTTTTAAATCTAGAAAAAATTTTAACTGCAATGTATTGCTATCGTGAATACTTATCGATTGCCACGCCCACTCTAACGCCCACAAACTTTAAAAATCGTCTATATGAACGCTGATATCTCGGAAATCAAAGAAATATCAAAGCTAGAGAGTTAACAGATTTCCATTCCTTAGCTGTGTACGCATCGCAAATCTTTTACGCTCCAACGCCTTTGTTTGAGTCTTAAATAATCAAAAAACCATTTGCTATTTTTATTCAAGCCAATTCAATTGCTTACTTCTAACTCTGGAGATTATCAACTCCCTAGATGAAAGACTGTTTCGCTTATTCGTTTTAGTTCTTTCAACATCCTTTTCAGAGAGCTCCATAGAGATTGCCCATTTCATTCCCTCCGATATTTTTTTAAATTCAATTGAGACGAAAACAATTTACAACAAAATGAATTAAGAGCACAAACTTTGAAGCTTCCGAAGAGCCTTTTCAATTTCAATCTGTGTGTCCCGATGCAGGAGGAGATGCAGGTGTGTCATCAATGATTCGAGCTTGTGGATGCTGGATGGTGGATATGTCCTTTTTTCTGTTTTTCCTGTATGACAGGCCAAGCGGAAACGCAAGTGTGCAATTTCATTGCATTTTTTCCGCCCCCTCCCCTTCAAACGCAGCAAAACTTTACTTCAAACTGTCTCCGACTCCGGTTGTTGTTGTTTCCCTCTGTCTTTTATTTCAGCACTTGAAAAAATATGCGTTACGATCTAGGCAATTTAAAAAAAATGTGTGACTCGGATCTTTATTTATCATTTATAAAGATTTGGTTTTACTAAAAAACTTTGATAGAAAATATTCCCATGTTTTTTTAAGCAAGTGAATGTATTTAAGTAAATATTATCATTCGGTTAAATGTAATACAAAATAAAATGAAACTAAGAAATCTATAATTTATAGCCGAAGAGTGCTCATCTTTAGGACCTCAATTGATCTCTCTGTGCATCTCCGCCTTCCTCTGTTTTAGCCACGTTTGCCTTTTGGGGCGTGTTGAGCTGCAGGGGGCAGGCAAACATTTCCAGCTTATTACTTTGATAGAAAAGTAAAACCAATGAACCTTTCACATTAGATAAGACAGCCAGCCTGTTTGTCCTCCTGGCGGAGTAGCTTCCATATGTGAGTGTCTGTGTGGGGCTGGGATGCCGGTGGCGCAGTGTGAGTGAGTATCTGTGTGGGCCAGGATGAATGGCTGGGCATGAATGAATGACTGGCTGAAGGCAAACATTACTGGGCGGAGAGCATTGAAATTTAGCTGAGATAGTGTCCTTACTGATTGCTTCCTGCAGTGCCCACCAGAGGAGTGTCCTCGGATCCAGTGCCCTCGGTTCCAGGGCCACTCCCCTTTTTGGCCACCGCCCCTCCTTTTCGGGCCAAGTCGGTCTTCCTGCATTTGCTGCTTCCGCCGCCAGTTGATTGTGTGCGTCGAGTTCTTTCCTGCTCCAATGTCTTCTGTCACATTTATCTAGAAAGTTTGCTTCTTTTTGCCCGCTCAAAAGAAAACCCCAACTGTTTGTCCTTCGCCAGCAGTTCCCCGGCATATCAAGCATAATGGGAATAGATTTCAAAAACTTTTAGCCAGCGACACTGCTAGTGTGTTGTATAATGGCGCAAATGATGTGTTTACACTATCATATAAATGTCACGTGCAATGGCGTCCTTTGTTTGCCGCTGGACACATGCTTTCCTCAATTTATGGCCTCTAGTCCCCATCCCCGTCCCCATAAAGGATTACTTGCCCAAAATGGGAGGCCAAAGGAGTCGGGAGTCCTTGGGCAGCGGTCGAGGTAATTACCCAACCAGGTGTCGGCTACTTTGTTATCTCTTATCTGCGCACACACACAGGCGATGTGTGCCACATAGCAGGAGTTGCATGTGCAGCAGGAGATGAGCTTCCTCTTAATGGGATTCTCCGAGTGGCAACCGCAACAAGCTGGAGAAAAAGCTCTGATGCGATAAACGAAGCGAAGGAAATGACATACTCCGGCGAGGGGAGAAAATCCTGGCACTTACATACGTCTGAGGTTCAAGTAAAAGACTCTGCACCAACTATCCTGCGAAAGAATACTTTTCATATTTACAAGCTGTCCCTCCGGAAATTGTGCCCCTTTGCGGGAGCACATTCCCTAAAAATAATTTAAGGAGCTCTCTTTAATCACTGAGGACTGGAGTTCACATACTGTTTTTATTTGGTTATTATATAGAATAATTCGTCCCTCGCCGTCCTTTTTTATCAAATTTATCCAAAGACTTCTGACAGACAAGTAGTCTTGTACTCGTAGAGTAAAAGGGTATACTAGATTCGTCGGAAAATATGTAACAGGAAGAAGGAAGCGTTTCCGACCCCATAAAGTATATGTCGGAGATGTATAAGAAGAAAGAAAATGTAAACGAAACTGTATAGCATTAAGAAAGAGAAAGGATAAAGAATAAAATAAACTAGTCATTAGGTTATTTGTGGTTCCTTTTAATTGCACAATTGCTGAGAGCGTGGACTGAGAACGAGAGAGAGTGTCGTCTCAGCCGAGTGTGGCGCGGTCATGGTCAAGGTCAAGGACTCTGAGAGAGAGAAGGACCAAAAAGGAATTGCAAATGAAAAAGAGAGAGAAAAGAAAGGAATTTGCAATTAGATGACGTGTGTCATTTTGACGTGTGTCAGAAGAAGCCGGCAGAAGGAAGCCGACTTCACTTTGCTTTTGATATCTGAACGGAGAAGACGTTGACCGCGACTCACTGCGCATCTGCAACAATATGCAAGAAGGAGACCAGCAAATGTCTCAGCCCCTGACATCAGAAGTGGGATCGGCTCAGGCCCAGCGTGATAGTGAATGGCGATCTCTGTTGGAAGCACAAAATCTACGATTCATCGAAATACTAAAAACAATGCAGCAGCCTGCTTCAACAACTACAAGTGAAAAATCATTGAGACTACCAAAGTTTAATCCAGACGCGGCTGAAGCTGACGCCAGCGCGTGGCGCAAAACAGCCGACATGATTCTCACGGAGCATCCTCTGGAGGGCAGTGCGCTGGTTATGTCGCTGAGTGGAGCACTAGAAGGGAGCGCTTCCCAATGGCTTGCACAGATCAGCTACGCTGGTATTACCTGGCCACAATTCCAAGAGTTGTTTGTTCAGCGCTACGACGATTCTGAGACGCCGGCCGCCACCTTATTGAACATTCTCAACGGACGGCCGAAAACGGGCGAGTGTTTGTCAGCGTACGGTAGCCGATTAGTGACGTCACTTTTGACAAAATGGAAGTCGATGGACATCGAAGAAATAGCTGTTTCTTTCGTGCTGGCACACACGTCACAAATCGACACTAGACTGCAGCGTCTACTGTTCACCACCAATATATCGAACAGAAATGAACTACAGCAGCAGTTGAAGGCGTACGCATACAGCAAGCGAAGTGAGCATTCTTCAGATCTTTCGATAGGCCCCGACAGGAAGAGATTCAAGGCACACACACCAATGAAGTGCCATTACTGTGGAATTTCTGGACACAAAATGCTGGACTGCCGTAAAAGGAAGGCAGAACAATCAAAACCAAATCAATCGTTTGGAAGACCACTGGCGGGACGAGACAGGACTGGCGTGACTTGCTTTAAATGTGGAATCGTCGGTCATATTGCATCGGCATGTATGAAGGGAACAGCAGCATCGAGTAGCAGTATGAACGAGAAGCGAGTGGATGTCTGTGCAGTGTTGGAGCCGAAAGGAATTTTATATCAATTTGGTGAGGCCTTTCCATTCTTTTTCGACTCGGGTGCCGAGTGCTCCTTAATAAAGGAAAAGTTAGCAGTCAAACTGGCCGGAAAAAGATTTAATAATTTAGTCATTCTAAAAGGAATTGGAACAAATGTTGTACACTGTAATTTACAAATACTGTCCACCATACAAATTTGTAAATTTAATTTGGAAATCATGTTTAATGTAGTTATGGACGAGCATTTGAAACATGACATAATGATTGGTCGTGAAATCTTGGCACTTGGCTTTGGCATAACAATGGATGCTGATAAATTTAGTATTTTTAAAAGTAAACAAATTAATTCAATATCCGATGAAACTATTACAAATTATGATAAGCTATTTGATGAAAATTATGATTTAAGTGATAATGATAAGTCTAAATTGAAGAACATTGTTGACCAATACACTGAGCATTTTATTGTTGGAATACCGAGCAGACGTGTCACGACTGGAGAATTAGAAATTCGTTTATTAGATGCCAACAAGACTGTGCAGAGACGTCCATATCGACTTGGCGTAGATGAAAAGGAATTAGTTAGAGATAAAATCAAAGAAATGTTGGCGGCAAATGTAATACGTCCAAGTAATTCTCCA